GTAGGTGAGGTCCTTCCGGATGGTGCGCTTGAAGAAGCCCTTGCAGCCCTCGCAGCTGTACACCCCGTAGTGCTTCCCTGGGGGGGGGGCACAGCAGGGCTCACTCCATCCCCGGAGCAGCCCCCTCCCTCCGCAAAATCCCAGCCACCCCCCTCATTCCATTGTCCCCCCCCCCCCGCAAAAAAAGAGGGCATCTCTGCCCCACCTACCCGAGGACCGGTCCCCACAGATGGCGCAGAGCCGCTTCCCGGGCACGAGCCCGCTGTGGGGGTGGCCTGGCAGGACCCTCATGCCCACCGGAGGCTTCACGTCTTCGGAGCTGCTGACCGAGTGGAGGCCGGACAGGTTGACCGTGGAGTTGATCTGAAAGGGGCGGGGCGGCCGTCAGAGGCGGGCCCTGGGGACCCCGCGGCCCCGCCCGCCCGGCGTCCGCTGCTTACCTGGGGGCTGCTGACGGGCCCGTAGCCGATGGAGGGGGTGGCCGGGAGTCCCGGGGAGCCCATGGAGGAGCTGATGACCGGGAAGGGGGAGCCCAGCCCACCGATGGAGCTGGTCATGGCGGAGCCGATCATGGAGGGGTGCAGAGGGGGGGGAGGCTCAGGAGGCGGGGAGGCTCCCAGGCCCCGCAGAGGGGGAGAGCTGCTGAGCGAAGAGCTGTCGGGACTCCTGCAGTCTTCAGGGGGGGGAGGGAAAAGAAAGGAAGGAGGAGGGGGGTTGTTAATATAAGACTCGGAGGTCCCCCCCACCCAGATGCCGGGTTGCAGAGTCCCTCCCTGAAGACTTCCTCCTTAGCCCCCACCCGCCCTCCCACAGCTTCCTCCCTCCGCGGGTATTTTGCAAGGCGACCGGCAGTCACATGACTGGCTGGAGCTTGGCGGCGGCTGCGGCTTCCTGGGACACGGGGGAAGAGTGAGGGGGGGTCCATTTCTCCCCTGCCCCACTCCCCCCCCCCTGTGGAGGACGTGGATGGTTCTTTCCCTCCCCTTCCCCTCTTCTGCCTGGACGGGAAGGGCAGACCCTCCAGGCACCCTCCTGCCCCCCCCCCCAACACACACATCCAGGTGGGCACAGGTGGAGAATTCTGTCCCTGGCCAGCCCCCTCCCCACATAATCAGCACCTGGGGGCACTCGGGGAACCTTCCTCTTCTGCCCAGAAAGACTGGACAAGGCCTGCCCCAAATCCCAGCAAGCGGTTGTTGCCAGTCGGAGCAGACAAGGGGGGGGGGGGCAGCCTGGCCAAAGCTGGCCCCCCACCTCGGAACCAAGGACGCCCTCACAGCAGGTCAGGGAAAAGGGCTCAGCACCCCAAAACAAGTCAATACTTGGGAGCTGAGGTGACAAACATAAAGGCATTTGAAGAAAGGTCTCCCACGTCTGTCAGAGATCAGCACCAGAGCAAGCAGGGGGGGCCCCCCCCCCCCCCCCGGTGGGCTCAGACGCCCCCCCCCAGGCCTCT